ATAAACCCCCCAAACCCTAAACCCTGAACCCTGAACCCTAGCCCTAAACCCTACAACCCCCTAAACCCCCGAGCCCTGAACCCGGAACCCTAGCCCTAAGCCCTAAAATGATCTCGCCCACCCCCTCGCCTTGAACTCAGATCTACTAGTAAGATTTACGGCGCAAAGCCCAAACCTAGTAAAGCTCAAAGGGTTTAGGGTTTAGGGTTTAGGGGTTTAGAATGTTTATGCGCGAGACCCTAGCTAAGCTCAATTGGCCGGGGCGGGGTCGGGGCATCCTGCGGCCGTAGCATCTGGCATAGTTGGCCTCCATCCCTCAATGCGCGGAAGGGGTATAAGGGACGCCGAGAAGGGACCCTCGAAGGCCCTATATATATATATACATATAATAGAGGTATATATGTATATATATATATATCTCTCTCTCTCTCTCTCTCTCTCTCTCCCTCTCTCTTATATATATATATAGTCCCTATATACCTAAGTAGCCCCTAAACAACCCCCGAAAAACCCCAAAGGTCCCTGAAAAGTGCCCCTCCTTTAGTACCTTGAAATGCTAAGTCTAGGGTGCTCCACGCCACCCCTAAAATTAGGGTTTGTAGGCCCTAGACTTTTTAGGCCATAGGGCCTAGGTTTTAGGGACGCTTTTGTTTTGGCTCTTTGTTTTAAATGAAAGCCTTGTGCGTGCAACGCAATAGGCTGAGACCCTCAACCCGAAGCCCCAAAACCTTCATGGCTCTTTTCCGCAGAGGGCAGCCGAACGTGGTGCCTTTAAGGCTTCCAAGGCTCGAAAACTATTGTCCTTGTGCGGGCTCAGGAACCGGATTGGTGTGGGAAATGACCCTAAGCCCTAAAACCCTAAACCCTAAACCCTAAACCCTAAACCCTAAACCCTAAACCCCAGAAGGGGGGTTATCGATCTTCTGGGCCCGGATAAAGACCTTACTTTTCGCCATCTTGCGTGGAGGCCATCGGCCCTACACTTACTGTTGGTTTGCCGGGAATGAGGGAATTAGGGTTTAGGGTTTATAGGGTGTATATATATATATATATGCATTTATATACCCTTTCAGGCAGTATACAGGATACCTCATTCCCTCCGCTAACCAACAGTAAGTACAACTCCAAGTTACCTTTGGATGCAGGGTGTGCAATAGGGGAGGATGTGGGTCTTGTCCGTTTCTGGCCGTAAGCCCTGAAACCGTAAGCTGTCGCAGCATTTCCTTCCAACGCAGCGCAAGACATCAAAGCAAGTAGGCGGGTGGTGAAGCCTTCAAGAATTATTTAGGCTAGGATACCCAGTAGTACCCTTATTCCCTTTTTGGTAGGTTTAGGTTCCCTTATCAACCCCTTTATGCAAAAAAGGGCACCCTTTTTCATCCTAGGTTACTGGGCAACCTAGTAGGTTCTTGTGGCAATTTGTGCATTCCTTTCTTGGGCCTTCTGGGCCGTTCTTGAACATGGTTCTTGATAGTGCAGTTGCAAGGGATCAGATCACAAATCCTCTGTTTCAGAGCTTCCAAGAACACATAAGAAGGTTTAAGAGTACATTATTGAGAAGAGCTCTTGAACGAATCTTCAAAGACTCTAAAAGGGCAACCCTAAGAAGGACTTTAAAGGGCTTTAAGAAGGACCAGAACCAACTTCCTGCCAGTGGTGAGGTTTCAAGTCGTGCGACGTATGCATGTTAACAGCCACCGGGGCCCTGAGTCAGAGTCATAGTATATCTAAGAAATATTCAACATACCCCTTTGGGCATACCCCTTAAGACAAAGTAAGGGGTATGGGAAAATCCTTCCTTAAATTCTCCTTTAGAGGTTAGGGGGTATGGGTTTGGGGTATGTTGAGTTATTCTTGGATATTAAGGCTGCTCCCAGCAGATGTCTTTGCAACACACCACCTGACGGCGACAGAGGCCACAGGTTAAGCGTCTCGGGTTTGGGGTGGTTTTCCGTGCTGCGTAAACCACTTGCGGGTTCCAACGGCAGGAAGCCCAGCAAAAGTCATTCCCCGAACCCCACACTTTCAACCCCACAAACCACCCGAAGGAAACCTACAGAAATCCCAAGCCCTACGCCCTACACCCCCCCATCCGAGCGCCCCCTGAAGCCCTGAAACCCAAAACTTCAGATTCCCGGGGCCCGAAAGCCCCTGAAACCCCTGGTGCGGTCCAAATGCGGACCCTAGACCCTAAACCCTAAACCCTAAACCCTGGCGCCCTAAAGTCTGAGGCTAGTTTCATGGGCCCTTCATATGGTCCCTAGCCTCCGTTAACAGGTTTGGATGTGTGGGGCCTCAATTTGTATAGGGTATGTAATTTAAGGGGTATATAAGGGGAACCCAGGGGCCGTGTAACTGGGTTTAGGGTTTAGGGTTTAGGGTTTAGGGTTTAGGGTTTAGGGCTACCCTTAGATAAAGGCGGAAACCCAAAGGCCCCGAACCTTGAAAGCTGTGAGCCAGCATGGCATCCAGTGCGAAAGTGACGCGGTGCGAGCTTGACGTCTGGGTTTAGGGTTTAGGGTTTAGGGTTTAGGGTTTGGGGTTTGGGGTTTGGGGTTTGGGGTTTGGGGTTTAGGGGGAACGGTCAGCTCTTGATGTGCTTGGGACGCTAGGATTCAGGGTTCTCTTGCTGGTTTGGGTTTGGGGTTTAGGGTTGAGGGTTGAGGGTTGAGGGTTGAGGGTTTAGGGTTTAGGGTTTGGGGTTTGGGGTTTGGGGTTTAGGGGGAACGGTCAGCTCTTGATGTGCTTGGGACGCTAGGATTCAGGGTTCTCTTGCTGGTTTGGGTTTAGGGTTTAGGGTTGAGGGTTGAGGGTTGAGGGTTGAGGGTTGAGGGTTGAGGGTTTAGGGTTTAGGGTTTGGGGTTTGGGGTTTGGGGTTTAGGGGGAACGGTCAGCTCTTGATGTGCTTGGGACGCTAGGATTCAGGGTTCTCTTGCTGGTTTGGGTTTAGGGTTTAGGGTTGAGGGTTGAGGGTTGAGGGTTGAGGGTTTAGGGTTTAGGGTTTAGGGTTTGGGGTTTGGGGTTTGGGGTTTGGGGTTTGGGGTTTAGGGGGAACGGTCAGCTCTTGATGTGCTTGGGACGCTAGGATTCAGGGTTCTCTTGCTGGTTTGGGTTTAGGGTTTAGGGTTGAGGGTTGAGGGTTGAGGGTTGAGGGTTTAGGGTTTAGGGTTTAGGGTTTGGGGTTTGGGGTTTGGGGTTTGGGGTTTAGGGGGAACGGTCAGCTCTTGATGTGCTTGGGACGCTAGGATTCAGGGTTCTCTTGCTGGTTTGGGTTTAGGGTTGAGGGTTGAGGGTTTAGGGTTTAGGGTTTAGGGTTTGGGGTTTGGGTTTTGCGGTTTGGGGTTTGGGGTTTAGGGGGAACGGTCAGCTCTTGATGTGCTTGGGACGCTAGGATTCAGGGTTCTCTTGCTGGTTTGGGTTTAGGGTTTAGGGTTTAGGGTTTAGGGTTTAGGGTTTGGGGTTTGGGGTTTGGGGTTTGGGGTTTGGGGTTTGGGGTTTGGGGGGAACGGTCAGCTCTTGATGTGCTTGGGACGCTAGGATTCAGGGTTCTCTTGCTGGTTTGGGTTTAGGGTTTAGGGTTGAGGGTTGAGGGTTGAGGGTTTAGGGTTTAGGGTTTGGGGTTTGGGGTTTGGGGTTTAGGGGGAACGGTCAGCTCTTGATGTGCTTGGGACGCTAGGATTCAGGGTTCTCTTGCTGGTTTGGGTTTAGGGTTTAGGGTTGAGGGTTGAGGGTTGAGGGTTGAGGGTTGAGGGTTGAGGGTTTAGGGTTTAGGGTTTAGGGTTTAGGGTTTAGGGTTAGGGATTCGCGTCGAGGGCTGGCCCCAAATCCTAAACCCTAAACCCAGCCGCATGAACTCCTAAAGGCGAAAAGTCCACATCCCAGTCCTCGAATCGTATCTCCTTGCACAAGAGTGGTTTAGGGTCCAGGGTTTACAGGGCTTAGGAGTCCAGTTGCAAGAAGAGTTTACAGACTTGGTTCTCTTACGGCCTACCTTGCGGTGTTTTGGGTCTCGGGGTCTAGGGTTTACTAGCTGCGTGCTTCGCCTCTCGGAGAGTTTTCTACGAGTGGTTTTCTTGCACTCTCATGTCTAACCTGAGAATGATAGTTGTGTCAATAATGGTGCCATAAATGCTCCAAAACCTGAGGGCAAACAACTCGAGCATGGTATTCTACGGGATCTGGAGAGGAGGGGAAGACCAAGATGTGCAGACTTCTTCTTTCTTCACGTCGGTGTGCGGCGGCAAGTCCTGTGATCCTCCTTGGAGATCCCCCTTGATCCCTACGTCTTGCCTCCCACTTTGGAATGAGACTTTGCAGTTGTGGCGCCCGAAAACCCGAAACCCGAAACACCAAACCCAAAACCCGAACCCCAAACCCTAAGCCCAAAACCTAAACCGTAAGTCTTAGCCCAGCCTTGCCCAAATCCGCCGTTGCTGCCATTGCTTGGCCCGAAATGGATTTCAGGGTTTGGGGTTTTAAAGGATATTATATGTTCCAGGGTGTGATTCTCGGGATATTTGTGCGTCGACTGAGCAGAAAAGGTTGGTTCACGTGGATCTCTGCTTATTGAGATCAATGCGACACCCTATCTTGCGCCCAAACCCTACATGTTACGGGCCGTGAAGAGACTTTCAAGGGTTTAGGGTTTAGGGTTTAGTGTTTAGTGTTTAGTGTTTAGGGTTTAGGGTTTTGGGTGCACCTGGAGCCCAGAAACCCAAGCGGATGGAAGTCGTTCTTGGGTTCCTGGTGCTCTTTTCTCCGTCGCTGGCGCGGGAGGAGCGACTCATGCGCCCGACACCCCAGCAACAACTCGTGCGCACCGAGCCATCCACTTGAGAAGCCCTATAAGCCCTTAGCCCCTCACAGTTCTTTCCACTACCTAACTACCTATCCATATTAATCATGGAAAATGACTTACATTCCTTGACAGCAACCCTAGTACACCCTAAGCCGCAAAGCGCCGCAGGAGGACACTGCGGCGGCTTTGCGGGGAGCACGCCATGGCGCAGGACCCAGCTTTCCTGCAGAGCCAGCCGGTCAGGGTTTAGGGTTTAGGGTTTGGGGTTTGGGGTTTGGGGTTTGGGGTTTTTAGGGTTTAGGGTTTAGGGTTTAGGGTTTAGGGTTTGGGGTTTGGGGTTTGGGGTTTGGGGTTTGGGGTTTGGGGTTTAGGGTTTAGGGTTTAGGTCTTGAATCAACCCGGAACCCCACACCCGGCTTTTGGAGAGCACAGGTTGAGTTTGGAGCAGGGGGGGGTGGGGGATGGATGCACCGGCATTCGCACATCATGTGTGCACGAGCGCCACTCGCTTGCACGCCATGCATGCATGCGCGCGCACTCTCGCACTGCGCGCATGGATTGGCAACACGTATTGTGCTGTGAAACGATGGCCCGTCGATCCTTCGGCGCGTTCTCACACTGTGCGCATGCATTTTCAGCACGCGCACATTGTTGTTGGAGATGTCAGAGGGGCAATTGGCGCGTGGCAGCCAAGCCTAATTGCCGTAGTTCCTTCGATTGCTTTTTCTGTCATAAGAGCGCAGACCCCCTACTCAGGGAGCATCAGCTGGCGTTGAGTTGTGTTCAGACCGGCGAAAGAGAGAAAGAGGGGCTTGTTAATCTTTGGGGCCTTGTGAGAACGAAGCCCAAACTACCCCCAAACCTAAACCATCCGAAACAACCCACAGCTCTTTTCTAGCGAAACAGCAGAGAAGCTTCTAGGATGCATAAGGGAGGGGGGGGATCATGGAGGGTAGCAGGGAACCTAAAAGGGAAGCCTAGGGAGCCCTTAGGGATAGTGTGGGATTTTTTTGTAGGGAACCATGGGTTCCATACCCCCCGTTGAAGCCCCCTCCCTTAAGAACCCGTTTAGGGTTTAGGGCTTTTGGGTTTAGGGTTTAGGGTTTAGGGTTTAGGGTTTAGGGTTTAGGGTTTAGGGAACAGTAAGCCCTGCGTGCTGTGGTCAGGCGAGTGGCCAGCAAGTGACCCGGAAGTACACCCGAGGCGCTTGCAGGTGGCGACCTCGACCTCCCAGGTGGGTGTGGGAGGTGAACTCTCAAAGTTCGAGTTCCTCTTCGTGGGCAAGTACCCGTGTTAAGAGGTGACCCCAAAATAGATGAACCCTCAAACCTTGCACAGAGGACAGAGCTCCAGATGAAAGCACAAGTGGTGAATTTGCAGACTTCCGGAGGTTGTTGATTTTGTTGCTACTCTTATGTTGGTACGTATTCACGTATTCGTCGTGCTCTTCCTGTGTGCTAAATACCCTAAACCCTAGCTATCGGGGCCCTTGCCAGGCGGCAGAGGACTTCTCAACAGTGGTGCCGAGTTGCCGCCCGGGATACATCGATGTGACGGGTGGCAACTGATCTTCCCAGCAGTCTTGTGGGTCTTGGGTTTTGGGTTTAGCGTTTAGGGTTTGAAGGGTTTGGGGTGCAGGGCTGTCAACGCTGGTCTCTAAGAATCGAAGGCTCTGTAACTGTATTGAGAAAGAGAACGCTCCAAGAAGGCATCCTAGACATCTCCTTGTTTTCCGGCCCGAAGTGGTTTAGGGTCTAACGTTTAGGGTGTAGACCCCAAACTAGCCCCTCAACCCTAAACCCTCGGAGCCTTGAAGTCAAGCAACTCAGGTAAAGCCTACCAGTGGACATGCGCGTTCTACTGCGAGGGCGGTCAGAATCTAGGATGCCCTTTAGTGCCCTGAACACAAGCAGATTCAAACTAAGGGCATTCGTGGGCAAGTGTCATTTCCTCGTGGCCGAGTGTCCGGCCTATCTTTCACACTTGCCCACGAAGTTTTGATGGCACTTGCCCACGCAGTGGCGACAACCCCCAGTCCCAAAACTTCGAGAGTCCAAACTTCGTGGGCAAGTGTTTTTCCATCGTGGCAAGTGTCAAGGTTTAGGGCCTAAACCCCTAAACCGTAGACCCTAGACCCAAAACCCTAAACCCGAAACCCCAAACCCTAAACCCTACAAGGGCTAGGGTTCTTTTAGGCTTAGGGTTTACTTGGGCTTAGGGTTTGGGGGGCCTGCCGAGGATCCAGGGCCGAAAGGTTTGGGGCCTGTTTCTGGTTTAGGGTTTAGGGTTTAGGGTTAGGGTTTAGGGTTTAGGGTTTAGGGTTTAGGGTTTAGGGTTTAGGGTTTAGGGTTTAGGGTTTAGGGTTTAGGGTTTAGTTTTAGGGTTTAGGGTTTAGGGTTTAGGGTTTAGGGTTTAGGGTTTAGGGTTTAGGGTTTAGGGTTTAGGGTTTAGGGTTTAGGGTTTAGGGTTTAGGGTTTAGGGTTTAGGGTTTAGGTGCTAGTGTTGGCCTAGGGTTTGGGGCTTTGGGCGTAGGGCCTGGGGTCAGGGCTTCGGGCTTAGGGCCAGGCACCGGGGACTTCGGGTTCAGGGTTTAGGGTTTAGGGTTTAGGGTTTAGGGTTTAGGGTTCAGGGTTTAGGGTTTAGGGTTTAGGGTTTAGGGTTTAGGGTTTAGGGTTTAGGCCTGCTGGGCGCTGGGCTGGCTTAGGACCTTCAGGACCTCCTTTTCTGTGAAGGGACATAAGGAGGGACCCGTAGAAAGGAGCCTCCATCTTGTTTGCCTATGTATACCGTCAGGGCCGAAGGCAAGATGTCTGAGCTGTGGGTTGCTCGTTTCCCAATGGCGTGTGGCATAATTTCTCTCACATCGTCCCGAGAAACCTAAAGTAGCCCTTGCAACACCCCTGGGTCCTCTGCTAGGGTCCCTCCTTTAGTCGACGTTGTACCTAGGTTCAACCGTTCGAACCCAGGTTCAACCCAGGTTCGATTCAGGACTGAGTCACACCAACCACCCACAAGAAGGAGCCAAAAACAAAGTGGGACCTAGCTCTGTCCAGAAGGAAATCGAGAAAATTCACTGCTAAACAGGAAACACAGAGGCTTTACACATTGGATGGATGGATGGACTCGGCACGCAGGGCACTGCTGCCTAAGGGTGCCGTCCCCTCCGCCATCTCAGGGGGCCTCCGCAAGCGTCATTGGCGACCCTCCGGCAAAGGTTCAAGGCCCCTGACTGTCCACCCCGCGCAAGCAGCCGTGGACTCACCAATGCCCGCACAGACGCCGAAGCGCGCAGGCTAGACGGCAGTGGGTCCTAGAGCACAGCCGCGAGCACGAGGGCCAGTAGTGCGTCCACACATCCTCCATTCCGCCCTGCACCCTATAGGCCCAAGCCACAAAACTACCGGCAAGGACCCAGGATGAGTGCCCGAATCGATATCGGCTGTGAGGTATCACCGGCAAGGCAAGACTCTGCCATCCGGCGGTGGAAACAGCCGGGCTTTACACATTGATAAACCTTCTGAACCGCAAGCATCGTGGATTGATCCGAACAAGTCGTTGCCAACTTGGTTTGGGCCTGTGCAGAGACTGTTAGGGTCTACCGTGGGCCTGGGCGTTCGGGTTTCGGGTCTACTATGGCCTTGGGCTTAGGGTTTAAGGCCTACCGGGAATGGATAGAGTGGAGTTTGAATTTATTTCCTGAATGTTGTGGGGTTCTCTGGGTGGGTATTTGTCCTGTTTCCACGCACATTGCTTGACTAGTGAATGCCTGGACTTGAGATCCCTAATCCCTACACACCCTACCCCTACATCCTAAACCCCAAGCCGCAGGCTAAACCCTAAACCCTAAACCCTAAACCCTAAACCCTAAACCCTAAACCCTAAACCCTAAACCCTAAACCCTAAACCCTAAACCCTAAACCCTAACCATAAACCCTAAACCCTAAACCCTAAACCCTAAACCCTAAACCCTAAACCCTAAACCCTAAACCCTAAACCCTAAACCCTAAACCCTAAACCCTAAACCCTAACCCGGGGTTCAGGCTCCTAGGGGCTCACATCGGGTTCAGGTGCTAGGATTTCAAGCCGTGCCCCCTGATTTTTTGTTTTAAGGTCATCACCTCTCCGAAGAATGCCACCTTCTAACAAGGAATGGGCGCAGGGTTTACATGGTCAGTTCTCTAAATTTTGGTTCCTTTTTGGGTGCCCTGAAGAAGAGCGGCCGCCTTATGATAAGGAGCCCCCAAAAGGACCATAATTTAGAGAGATCACCTTTTGGTTTAGGGAGCACCCTAAACCCCAAAACCCCAAACCCAAATTCTAACCCTAAACCCTAAACCTCAAACCCCAAACCCTAAACCCGAAACCCTAAACCCTAAACCTTAAACCTGAACCCCTAAACCCCGGGCAGCCGAGGAATTTTGCAACGAAGAGCTGCCTCTGCGCTTGCCTCACCCAAGAGCAGATACTTGGGCCAGAAAGTCGCCCTAAACCCTAAACCCTAAACCCCAAACCCTAAACCCTAAACCCTAAACCCTAAACCCTCCCCCAGTTCCTGGATACAGATGCAGTAAGGATCGAGAAGCTTGGGCTTTCAGCGAGCACCACCTCGACCGCGAACTACGCGGCACAGGGGCACAGCATCCTGGTCACTCAGGCACCTGACACAGAGGCTTACTCAGCCAATAGTTGAACTTTAAACTTTTTGGGTTTCCTTATTTAGTAGGAATAATAAAGTTTAACCTTTTTTCCCCCTTGGTTATTGGAGAAGTAAGGAGGGGAAAGTGCCCGAACGGGTTGAGGAGACTTGGCTGTTTACTTGTTTGAGAAGTTCTCAAGATACATGTTCCTCTTGTGATTTTCGTAAACTCCCATATAGTACGGCACCCTCATAATGAGGATCCACAAAGGGACCCCAATGTAGAGATCTACCGGTCTCGGAGCTGTGTTACATGAACACCCGTCAAGGCAGAGGAATGCCTCCCGGCACCTAACCCTCCAAACCTCTCAACTTACTGCACCTGTCTTAATCCTCATTGAACCCTCTAAGGGTTTAGGGCGGTTTAGGATTTGGGGTTTAGGCCCTCTAACCCTGAACAGCTGGGATGCGCAAGCATCCAGCAACAAGGAGGTCCCTGTCGGCGAAGTCCACGATGGGCCAATGGAAAATCTCCACGGGCAGACTTCTGGCGACTACGTGGCGGCTGCCTCCGGCAGCACGACTCTTGGGCCGAGAAGCCCGCAAGCCTACCCTAAACCCTAAACCCTAAACCCTAAACCCTAAACCCTAAACCCTAAACCCTAAACCCTAAACCCTAAACCCTAAACCCTTGGCATGGCCCCTGCGCAAGGATGACACGCAGAAATCGAGAAGTTACGGTTTAGGTTTCAGAGTTTCGGGTCCGAATCGGGTCATTTCCCGGCCCAAGTCTCCCAGCTTGGCCGCCTTGGACCCCCGAAAGCTTGGACTCAGAAGCCCTAGCCTCTCAGGTGATTTGGCGTGTAGGGTTAGGGGTTGCCAGGGTTGACAGGGTTGATCGGGTTGATCGGATTGATAGGGCTGACAGGGTTGATCGGGTTGATCGGGTTGATAGGGTTGATCGGGTTGATGGGGTTGATGGGGTTGATAGGGTTGATAGGGTTGATAGGGCTTAGTGTTTGGTTTTGGGCACCTAGTTTTTTTTAGGGTTAAACCTAGACGGGAATGTGTATATATATATATATATAGATAGCTGTTGGGCCCTAGCCCCCCTCCCGCCCCCCCGGCCCCCGCACCATGGTGTCCGCCTCTCCGGCAAGGGAGGATGGGGGCGATGTCATGGGGGGGGGGGGGGGGGGGCGGTGGCAGCCCGAGACCATGGAAACACATATGTGTGTATGTATATATATATATATATGAAAATAAATTCTTGGTAGCCCAGTGGTACCCTTTACACTTTTTTTGGTTACGGGCTCCCTTATAAAATAAGCTAACCAAAAAATGGTGCTCTTATTATAACATGGTTACTGGGCTACCAAGTATAAATAAATATATAAATATAAATATAAATATAAATATAAATGTATATATATATATGTATAGATAATGGTGTCTTCCCAGGGGCTACAGCAAAAGCCTATAGCGATGCCGAAGAACCCAAAAAAGGACGGCTCCTCCACCGGTGGTGCCGCCAGCTGCCTACAGCTGGCAGAACCTTGGGTGCTCCTGCGGTACCTTTCTTTGGGTTTAGGGTTTAGGGTTTAAGGTTTAGCGTTTAGGGTTTAGGGTTTAGGGGTTAGGGTTTAGGGCTTAGGGTTTAGGATTTAGGGTTTACAGTTTAGGGTTTAAAGGGTCTTTATTGTTTGGGGAGGGCGGGGGGTTCAGGGTTTAGTTTTTGCTGGTGGAGAGCCCCCCCCCTCAACCCTAAACCCTAATCTATCTTGAAGCGGAGGGAAGACCTGTATTTCCTCTATTTCCGCTACATTCGCAGACGCAATCATCGATTGTCCTCAGCTTTTCGAGGGAATCCGTCATTTCCTCTGCATTTGAAAGTGCTAAACAGAGATTTTCCCTTTGAGTTCTGTGTACACAAGACGCAAAAGGAAGGGGAATGACGGACTCAGGAAGGAAGGAGAGAACAGCATGCCGTCATGAGGAATTGCTTCAAAACCCATCTGAATCTTTTCCGCGCCCGACATACATGCATTATGCTGCGCCCCCTCCCAACCCCCCGCTGTGTTGAGCCATGCAACCTTGCTTATAAGAACGGAACGTCACAAAAGGTACAATATATCTTGCACACATCTAGAGTATTTCACAAGCCCCACAGCTGGTATGCCCCCTCCCCCCCCCCCCCCCCCGCGCAAGCTTGTCTTTGACCACCCGGGGAGCTAAGCCGACCCAGGATTTTAGGCGGAGAGCCTGCTTTCAACGTGGCGTTTTTCGTTGGAAGGGCTTTCTAGCCGGGCATGCTTGGGATTGAGGGGGCAGTGGTCATTTCATGGGTTTTGGAACTTCCTGACCAGGTTGCTACTCGTTGAGGTACAAGGTTTACTTGCACGGTATTGGTGTGGTTTTGTTCGGGCAAGGCTTTGGGGGGGCTGGAGGGCTGAGGAAGTCTTCTTGGCGATTGTTAAGAACCTTCTCAAGGACTGTCCTCCTTGTCTTGACTGGCGCGTTTCTAATCATTGTGGCCGTGTCGATGGTGTTGGTCTTTGCCCACCGCAATGGCTTCCTTGGGGCCTTGCAGGCGCACGGGTGTGAACTCTTCGGCGCGACAATGATGAGCTCCCCTCAAAAGTACTCTTGAGAATGTTTGGCCTAAAGTCTATACCCTCTTATAACCCTGACTGTACCTTTTTAGCCTCCTAAGTGTGCTCTAAATAAGCTATAAGTAGACTTGTAATTGGGTTCTTAAATTCCCATGAACCTCCAAGAAAATTTGGGGATTCTTTAGGAGTTGGTGTGACCCGATGTGCATTGCTCTAAAGGCGTGGCCAAACTTTAAGGTTAGGGTTTAGGGTTCGGGGTTTGGGGTTTGAGGTTTAATTAGGGGGCCAAGGGTGTCTTAGAACTTCAGGGTTTCACCCTTCGCGTTTTTAGGGTTTAGGTTCCCTTACAAGCACCCTAAACCCCAAACCCTAAACCCCCTTTAACACAGAAGGGGCACCCTTATTCCTTGGGCCTGAAAGTCCTTGAGGAATATCGGGGCTGTTTAGGCAGGGAATCCTTTACATCAAGAAATTAAGACTCGTACCTTGGGATGTTCCCGCTTATACTAACAGCTTTAGGGTTTAGGGTTTAGGGTTTTAGGGTTTAGGGTTTAGGGTTTAGGGTTTCGGGTTTAGGACTCGAATACATAGGCTCCAGGCCACCGAAGAAGACCAAAGCTTGATTGTGCCATGGAGACTTGAGCTAAGCCTGAGGAATCCTCGGGCTAGCACTTTGCATCGTCACCTCGCCTCGTTGAGCCGGAACTCGGTCACTCAGTTGATTCTCATGAGGATGGGGCCAGGAAATCAAGCGAGGTCAAAATTGATGAAAGTACAGCAAGCCCTGGAGCTCGAAGAGCACTACTGCGCCTGCAGCTGGAGAACTCCTGGCAGGCATGCCACATGCACGCCACAATTTCGGGGCACTCGTGGACGCCGCCTTGAGGAATCCTCGGAGGATCCTTCGGTTCACTTCGGGGTTTTAGGGGGGTACTGTGAATCCAGGACTGTTAGTCTAAGGGGGAACGCCCTAATTCGTACCCCTAAGGTTGTACCCCGAAAGGTTTCCCCTGCATGTACTTGTAAGATGGCCCTTAGACTACCCTAAGGATCTTTAAGAAAGGGAGTACCCAAAACTGAAGGGTACAACCTTAAGGGTCCAAGGTACAACCCCGAGATTAGAGAGGTAGAGCTGCGAGGGGTCTGACAACTCCGCCCGCAAGCCCTGAATAGATCAAACTTTGAACCTTCGAACCCTATAGCCCTGGAACCCCAGAGCCCTAGACTCTTAGGTTCCAGAACCCTAGAACCCTCGAACCCTAGAACCCTAGAACCCTGGAACCCTGGAACCCTAGAACCCTGGAACCCTAGAACCCTGGAACCCTAGAACCCTGGAACCCTAGAACCCTAGAACCCTAGAACCCGCAACCAGATCTCTGCTCTGGGAAGGGGGGGGAGTGGGGGGGGTTCAGGGTTTAGGGTTTAGGGTTTAGGGTTTAGGGTTTAGGGTTTAGGGTTTAGGGTTTAGGGTATCCACCCAACACGCCCTGGACCATCCTGGGGCTCCCTGTACCTTACAGCTTGGTAGTAGCTACCCAGCAAAAAGTAGGTGCAACCAAACACCCCTAAACCCTAAACCTTGCGCCTGTTGCAGCAGTCGAAACCCTAAACTCTAAGACCTAGACCCCTAAACCCTAAACCCTAAACCCTGAACCCTGAACCCTGAACCCTAAACCCTAAACCCAAAACCCTAAACCCACAACACCGTGGGTAAAGGGAGTCCCGGGATGGTGTGAGATATGATCTTTGCTGCATGGATCCTGTGGCCCGATGACTCTGAACCCAGGTCGAGCTTCCAGCATGTGGGGCTTTTGGGGTTTGGGGTTTAGGGTTTGGGGTTTAGGGTTTAGGGTTTAGGGTTTAGGGTTTAGGGTTAGAATTTAGGGTTTAGGGTCTTTACTTGGGCTCTCTTACTTTGGGGAGGTGGTCAAGACCAGCAACCTGGACCACGTGGACGTGGCGAACCGGCCCTCGGACGTCCGACTCAGCCCGGACTCTTGGTCCAGCTCTTCACCCTAAACCCTAAACCCTAAACCCTAAACCCCAAACCCTAAACCCTAAACCCTAAAAATGGGCTCTGGAAGAAATCCCCCCAGTGAAGTTCTGAACTCGGGAGGGTAGAAGGTCTGTTAACTGGCAGGGGCGGCGGTTGCACCTCCTCAGAATGCCCCAAACTTGTCGAACCTGTAGCTGCTGAGTATGCCTTGGAGCCCTCTTTACCTACAGTTTTTGTGGGTTATACCTGCCAATTAAGGGTAATTACTTCTGAGCTGGAGGCAAATAGAGTCCCAGGTAGTGTCTGTGTCGTTTGTGGGTGTTTCTTAGGCGGCGGTGAATGGCAGGACCCTAAACCCTAAGCCCCAAACCCCAAACCCCAAACCCCAAACCCCAAACCCCACACCCCAAACCCCAAACCCCAAACCCTAAACCCTAAACCCCAAACCCCTAACCCCTAAACCCTAAACCCCAAACCCTAAACCCTAAACCCTAAACTCTCAGTCTTTGAAACAGGGAGATGATGCTCTTCGACTCGTCCTGCGGGGTGGGTGCCTTTGGGTATGTGCAGTGCGGGTGGGAAAGACTAAACCCAAAAGGCCCTAAAACCCTTAAGACCCGAAAAAAAAAGCACCCTAACAGCCTAAAACCCTAAAGACCCTAAAACATCCTAAAAGCCTGAAGAACCAAAAGAAAGTCCTAAACAAAATCCAAACAAAAACCCAGTTGGAGCCTTGGGGCTTCACAGGTCTCCGGGCGGAAATCATTTTTTGTTAGCTTCACAAGCGCATTCCGCGTAAGGGGGGTAGTAGGGTGGGTAGTAGGAGGGGGTTGGAGGGAGTAGGAGGGGGTAGGGCTGTCTTTCAGGATATGGGGCTGAAGCCCCCAAGTCCTGAAGCCCTCCTCCACTAACTGAGCAGGCAAGTGATTTGAAGCCTAGAACGGCCTGCTTTGGGTTTGGTTTAGGCCTAAGCCCTAATCACTGCATCCTCGACCCTTCTAAGCCCCCGCAAAAGCCCTAAGCCCGGCCTAAGCCCGGCCTAAACCCTGATTCCCAATCCCTAAACCCTAAACCCTAAACCCTAAACCCTAAACCCTAAACCCTAAACCCTAAACCCCAAACCCCAAACCCTAAACCCTAAACCCTAAACCCTAAACCCTAAACCCTAAGCCCTAAGCCCTAAGCCCTAAGCCCTAAGCCCCGAACCCGGGGAGTGCCAAGGACAAGCTCTCCTGCCTGCGGAGGGATAGCCAGCTTGCGGACGCTGGGACTTCTTTGATTTGAGGCTTGGAGGCTTGGAGGGTTTAGGGTTTAGGGTTTAGGGTTTAGGGTTTAGGGTTTAGGGTTTAGGGTTTAGGGTTTAGGGGCCAACCCGAACTAGGATGCCCAGCAAGGCTTGCAGCGTTCCGTGTCACGAACAAATTGCAAATTCTAGGGGGGATTGTGCTTTCGTGGTCGTCGCGTCTGGGCCCGGCAGAGGGCAGGCGCTCGATCGTTTCAGGTGTTCCCTAAACCCTAAACCCTAAACCCTAAACTCTAAACCCTAAACCCTAAACCGCACTCACTGTTTGCAGGATCGGCCTAGGGTCCCAGCTGACGGTACTCGTTTAAGCAGTGCTGCACTCTCTGATGTGCACACACCCTGGTATATCTAGATATGTACAAGGTTGCAATTATGTCATATAAATACAGATACTACATGCAATTTATATATATATATATATATATGTATATATATATATATTATATTATATTATATGTGTATATATATATAGAGACCTATACGTATGTATGCATGAATGTATGCATGCATTTACACCTTAAGGCTCCACCTCTCCAAGCCCTCTGGCCCAAAGCCCCACAGACCCTGGAGCCAAGGCCGCCTGCATGTCCCCAAAAGCCGTCGTCGCCACTCTATCCCCCTTGGAAATTATTTTTTTACTTTTTTTGTATAAAACCCAAGAGGACATTAAGAATAGCATTTTTAATGAGGTTCTAAGGGGAGTATAGGCCATGGACCACTTGGAGAAGCTGCGCAACTCGGGCGACGCGGCCGCCAAGCAGGCGGCCAACTACCACCTCGACTCGCTGCACATCGCCCGAACCCCGCTGCCCGGCCTGGATCAGAGTGACGTATGGTCATTAGAGTCTCCTTCGGAATGACTTTTTTTGGTTGCTAGAACACCCAAGGGGATATTGACGATCTCGTTCTTATTGGTTCTGCAGCCGGGCGTTCCTGCAAACATGTTGCGATTTTGAGGACAATATCAGAAGTATGATCGAAGTAAGAAACATCCTGTAGACCGACTATGTATAGGCACTTGATAGTTTATTCCAAGTTACGTTTATTATATGCAGGGGCTTGCGTTCAAGGCAAAGGGCTCTGGTTGGTGCGATACACTGGCATCAAGCTTGTGCTTCTCTTATTCTGCACGCATGCACGCCAATTGCGCCCTTTGAAGTGCGGTCTTTTTTCTCGGCTTCGCTGCTTGACTGTAGCCATGTGAGTTGCTCGGGTCTTCGGGTCAGAGCTTCATCCAGGCCAGAACCCGACAAGCCGGTCGCACAAAAGGGTTTCCAAAAATGCCGGCTCTGCACCCCCCCCCCGCCCTCCCCCTCGAGCCCGCGAGACCTCCGGTCCCCAGTTTTGAGACTCTGGTTTGAATCCGGATGGTTGTCTTTCCCCTGTGGTGTGGCCAGGGTTGTGGTTAGGTCCATGCATCCGTCGATGCTTTGAGTTCCGTGCAGGCCCGACAGATCCCTAAGCCCCGAGCCCTAAATGTGCCCTGCAATGCCGGCTCAGTGTCAGCTAGCCAACCCTAAACCCTAAACCCTAAACCCAAAAACCGAGGCACACTTCTCCACAACCACAACTATCGAAGCAACCTGACCCCCTGGCCTTTCACCCCTTTCGCCCTGAACTTCAAGCCGAAAAACCCTAAACCGTAAACCCCTAAACCTGGTATCCTCTTTACCTACAGTTTTATGGGTTGTACCTACTAATTAAGGGCTTACTACCAAACTGTCGGTAAACAGAGTCCCAGGTAAACTTTGAGAACCCTAAGCCCCTAAACCCTAAACCCTAAACCCTAAACCCTAAACCCTAAACCCTAACTTCAAGCCCTAAACCCCAAGCCTTACCACCCAGGAGCTGTGCCTCTGATGCCAGCAGAGGGACCGGGAAGTCCGAGGAGCCGAGAGCACCCCCGGCGGCTTGGCTGGTTTTGGGGGTTTAGGGTTTAGGGTTTAGGGTTTAGGGTTTAGGGTTTGAGTTTAGGGTTTAGGGGTTAGGGTTCAGGGTTCAGGGTTTAGGGCTTCGAGATGCCCGAGACGCAATGAAGAAGACCTTCTTGATAAGAGCTGCTTCTCTCGTTGCTGTAGTTTAAGGTGTATTCCTTAGCTCAGGAAAACCCTAAAACCCTAAAACCCTAAAACCCTAAAACCCTAAAACCCTTAAACCCTTAAACCCTTAAACCCTTAAACCCTTAAACCCTTAAACCCTAAACCCTAAACCCTATACCCTACCCAACGGAGGGATGGCGCGAAGTCTGCCTGAGGAGTTGGCAGTTCAGAGGCGGAGGTCAGCTCCAGAGCAACTTCTGCAAGAGGTTTAGGGTTTAGGGTTTAGGGTTTAGGGTTTAGGGTTTAGGGTTTAGGGTTTGGGTTCACGGCCCTTGGGTTTTCTACAGGGCGTGTAAGGGGTGTAAAGGGGGTCCCCTTTTAAGGGCCCATACTGCTGCTGCTGCTGCTGCTGCTACTGCTGCTGCTACTACTACTACTACTACTACTACTACTACTACTACTACTAATACTACTACTTTTGGGTATTCCCTATATTACCCTTACCAGGTAGAATATTTTATTTTTTTGGGGGGTTATTAAGCAATTAGTTTATTCAGGACGCCCAAATCAATGCAATTATGAGCAGGGTTTAGGGTGTAGGGTTTAGGGTTTAGGGTTTAGAGGCCCAAATTTAATGACCAAAAGGATTTCTGTCACGAAATTCAGGATCAGGGTTCAGGAGGGTTTTACAACGGTTGTCAGGGCGTTTGGGCATTCTAAGGGGTTAAAAGGGCAATAAACCCTAAACCCTAAACGTGTTTGGGCAATCTAAGGGGTGTGGCGCTTTAGGGTTTAGGGGGCTGTTGTGTGGGTCGGTGGACTCAGTGGTGCTTTACTGTAGCCTTAGATCCTTAGCCTTCTTGGGTTTATTGGACTTCTTAATAAGACGGCTAAGAATTTAATGTATAGCTACCTTACTAAGTGCAGCCAAGTAGAGGGGCCTTTGGTGTTGAGCCTTTGCTTCTTTTAGCAGAAACGAGCTCAGGCAACCCTCTGTCGCTTTAACCTGCTTGGAGGTTTATGGGTACTTATACACCCCAATTTTAAGTCTACTAAATAACTTGCTTGGAGTTCTCAGGGGCTTCTAGGACGATTCACAATTGGGGTTCTAAGTACCCTAAACCCAAACCCTAAACCCTAAACCCTAAACCCTAAACCCTAAACCCTAAACCGCGAGGTGCTTCCATAAGTGCCCGTGAACCTCCAAGTACTCCGAGGAGACGGAGCTGCCCATGCAGCGGCGGAAGTCCGCCCCCGACCATCTCCAGGTGGAAGCCCTTTAGGGTTTAGGGTTTAGGGTTTACTTGGAGGTTCATGGTACTTATTTACCAACTGTATCTGTACTTATGACCCACTTATAAGCCCCTAAAGTGCCCAAATATGGTTACAAGTACAGTTACATGTACAGTTAGAATTGGTTAGCACGTACCATGAACCTCCAAGTGGGTTTAGGGTCATGAAAGCTATTCGCCAGAACCCGAACTAAGGCCCCGAGATTCTTTGTAAGTCATGGCGCAGGGTGCCTGGCTGAGTCCAGTAGGGTTTAGGGTTTAGGGTTTAGGGTTTAGGGTTTAGGGTTTAGGGTTTAGGGTTTAGGGTTTAGGGTTTAGGGTTTAGGGTTTAGGGTTTAGGGCCTGACAGCTTAGAAGACTCCAATCAAGGGATGAGAGGAGGGACCCTTATAAGTGACCTTAGGGGTTATTTGGGGGTTGTCCAGGAGCTGCTTAGCTCTATACGGACTACATGAGGTATTTCTGAATAAGAATAAGGGTTAGGGCTTGTGGCGCTTTAGGCTGAGGGTTTCATTAGGGTTCAGGTGTGGCGTACTTGGTGTGTCAAGGGATGAAGACTCGTACCCCTAAGGTTGTACCCCTACAGGTTCCCCTTCATCTACTCCCAATATGGCCCCTATATTCCCCTTCGGGATCCTTAAAAAGTGACCCCCCAAACCCAAGGGTATAACCTTAAGGGTCCAAGGTAGAACCCCTAGAGTGCGAGATTGGGAAGGCCCCTTTGTCAAGAAGGTTGGCCAACCTCAAGCCCAGCGTGATTTTGGCACCGCGGCTTGGGTTACTTGCTCAGCCTGTACCGCTGGTCTCGGAATCACTTCTTACTTCTGTGACGCATTTCTAAACCTGAGCTTTCAAACCTGCACCTAAACTTCCCCCCCCCCCCCCCCCCCCCCCCCCCCCCCCCCCCCCCCCCTCCCCCCACGCCCCAACCCTAAGTCGAAAAGCCTGAGTCCTAAAACCCCTAAACCCCTATACCCCTAAACCCCTAAACCCCTAGACCGCTAGACCCCTACACCCTAAACTCAAAAAAACCCTAAACCCCTAACTCCCTAAACCCTAAACCCTAAACCCTAAACCCCCTAACAACCCTTGAAAAAAACCCAGCGCGCAGGAGCCCGAGCTGCCAGTGCAGCGACGGAATTCTGCTCCAGACCAGCTACAGGCCCTAAACCCTAAACCCTAAAAACCCTAAGCCCTAAACCCTGAACCCTAAACCCTAAACCCTAAACCTAAACCCTAAACCCTAAACCCTACACCCTAAACCCTAAACCCTAAACCCTAACCCTAAACCCTAAACCCAAGGAGAGTAACCGGGAACCCTAAACCCAAATTTCTACAGCCTCGGTTTTAGGGGCTCAGGGTTTACTACTATTTGCTTCAGAACCTCCATAGAAAGTTTAGGATGGAGCTGGTTCGAAAGGAGGATACTCTTGTTATTGTGGCCCGGGCGGTGGGATGGCAGAGAATTGAATTCTGGGGGGCGTCAACCCTAAACCTTAACCTTAAACCCCTAGGCAAGGCTTCGGGTTTCGGGTCTTTAGGGTCTTTAGGGTTTTGGGGGGTTTTGAGGGTCTTTAGTTTTTTTTGTTTTAGGGCTCTTAGGGTTTTGAGTTTTTTTTTTTTTTATATAAGGGTTGTCAGTTCTTTCAGGATTTTCAGGTTGTTAGCGTTTGGGGTACATGAATGGGTGTTGGGGTGATTTACCTGGGTAGGCCCAGGCCTAGCTTTTGGATGGCAGTCTTCTTCTGAGGGTCGTTTTTTGAGCCCTGAATATGGTCCCTTACCTCCTTTAAAGAAGTATGGGCCCTTGGGTTTTCCTACAGACGTGTAAGGGACAAAAAGGGTCCCCCTTTAAGGGGCCATACTAAGGGACCCTGTAACTACAAAGGGCGGAAGAAGAAGCGAGCTGCCAGCCGAGCCTCCAGGGTTAAAAGAAAAGGGGTGTGCATTCTTCAACTTGATTGGGTTTTAGGGTTTAGGGTTTCGGGCTGCTTCAAGAGCAGTTTGCCGATAGGAGTAAGAGCCAACTCCCTTGACCTTCAACACCCGAAGGCCTTGATTGACCCCCCCCCCATGACAAGGAGATCCCCTCCTCCCCTTGAATTGTAGAGCACCACCCCTCAAAGTACCCAGCCTTAACCCGATCAGCTGTGCAGACCCTGAACCCTAAAACCTAAACCCTAAACCCTAAACCCTAGCCCTAAACCCTACAAAAGAAGGGATAAGAGCCCCCAAACCCGAAACTGCCTTGGGGCCCATGGATTTCAAGCTGCTGACCTCCAGGCGCCCAGAATCGTGAGGGTGCCGCAGCTTGGCCGCCAGAGAAGGGTTGAGGGTTTAGGGTTTAGGTTTAAGGGTTAAGGGTTTAGGGTTTAGGGTTTAGGGTTTCGGGTTAGGGTAGGCCGAACCCCTACACCTTAAGCCCTTCAAAAAGGGGTGGTTTGGGGTTCAGCGTTGAGGGTTTATGCAATCGGTCATGCGGACTGTCACGAAGCGAGACACTTGGCGACTAAACGGATTCCAATTCAA